TATTCATTGCCAGTTTCATATGCATGGGTGCCCATGAAAGTCTTTGAGTGGCAAATACCTCTACAGAATTGCCCTGCCCTTCCCTTCCTCTTCAGAAAGGAATTCATTGCTGAGCTTCATAAACCAGATTCTGACACTTCAATTCTGCCCACATCACACCCTTTACCCTGCAGCTTGGTCTCTAGGGTAAATGCGATGCGATGAGCTTGGCATTTGGTCCCCAGACTTTCTTTGTTTTCTTGGTAATAACTTTGGTCAATATGATGGAGTCTATCTCCAGTGATAAACTTCACTGAAGCGGGGAGTGAAAAGTCAAATCATTTCAAACGGTGTGTGAAAAACATACCTGAACGTGTTTTATAAAGTATGAAAGACTTTGGAAACTGTAGATAGCCAAGCTATTATTGGATATTATGGATTTTTCTGACTTAATAAATATACTCACTAGGGCAGAAGTTTTAGTCAAGATAAAAGACATTGAACCAGATGGGGACAGGGAGGCAGAAAACCTAGAGGAGAAAGGTTGGTGGCTTCTTCATAAACCTGCCCACCACAGAAAAGCAGTCTTCTCTGAGGCCTGTCGGGTCAGAACTTTTTGTTCAAGTCAGATAAGCTTGCAGCCTCCTCCTCTGGAAGCTTTTCAAATTCCAGCTTTTCCAGCCACAGTCTGAGAGCATTTGCCTAACTCCTATTCAGAGGGTAAAATTGTTTTTATCTGTCATCATTTCACCTAGGTCCTTGACTCCACATTAGCGCCAAATGGACCATTCATTGTTAGTCACAGAAATAGTGTCGTCAAAGAATCAAAGCACTGTTGTAAAGCAATTATCCTCCAATCAAAAATAAACTTTAAAAATTAAAAGTATGAGTCTTTGAAAGCGGTTTGGAAGCCAAATATGACCCTCAGGCCAGTGGCAAGGCTCTAGAGAGACGTCACTTAGCCGTTTCAGGCTGAGCGGCAGGATCTGCCGGAAGTGGTGGTTCCCAGGAAGCCACTGCCCCCTTGTGTCTCCGCGCTGGCCAGGAATTGTTCCATGACGGAGAACATTTGGCAAAGTCTGCAAAAGATTATTGGTGGGCTATTTCTGGCTCTTAATTTGTTGGTTCAATTAAGGTTTCCTTTCTGCTCATGGTTTCTTAAACTATAACATTACTTTTAAAAAGTCAATTTTTAAAAGGCATATTTTATCATAGTTATCAAAGTAGTATATATTCCTTGAAGATAAATGTGTACAATTGTTTAATTTTGTTAACCTTTTGATGTATCTCTTCCTTGTTTTTTTAAATCCTTCTCCATTTAAGGAAAACTAATTTTGCTTGGGGACAGGAAAAAAAAAGCCACACAACCATTGAATCTAATTTTATCATAAATGTTTGGTAAACACGATCTCTTCTCCACAATAAGAAAAGAGACTTTGGAATATGCTAGAGTACTAAGACACACAATTTCCCTTTTTTTCTTACAAAATTTAAAAGTTAAACTTAGGGACTTCCCTGGTGGTCCAGTGGCTAAGACTCCATGCTCTCAATGCAGGGATCCCAAGTTTGACCCCTGGTTAGGGAACTAGATCCCACATGCTGCAACTAAGATCCAGTGCAGCCAAATAAATAAATATTTTTTTTAATTTAAAATGTAAAAGGTAGCACTTTAAAAACCTCATACATTTTGCCTGTAATTTCAATTCTATGGATTAAGAATACTGTGAAAGTGAAAAGTGAAAGTTCTTCAGTCTGATTCTATGTGACCCCATGGACTGGAGCCCGCCAAGCTCCACTGTCCACGGGACTTCCTAGGCAAGAATACTGGAGTGGGTAGCCATTCCTTTCTCCAGAGGATCTTCCCAACCCAGGGATCAAACCCAGGTCTCCATCTCGCAGGCAGATTCTTTACCATCTGAGCCACCAGGGAAGCCCTAAGAATTATGTAGTGAATGCAACTATTAGACCCATTAAATTGAATATTATCTCATTTTCAAGACAGAAAAATAAAACTTCTTGTTCTAAAGATGGACTGTGGGAGCTATGGTAATTTGGCAGTCTAAATGATCCAGTCATTGGCAAATGCATCAGGTGTGATTTCAGATGTGTTTTTACATGGGGTTGGTCACATTTCTATATGTCATAGAGAAAGATGCTGCTTCTCCCCAATTATGAAGACTGAAGAAACAAAGGCATTATGGGAAGAGCTGAGAATGGTCATCTGTGCCTCCAATCACCTTTCCTTCTATATCTTGTTTGCTGTCTGTGTCATCTAGATGTATATACCGCACAACATAAACATGGGCGGCAGTGTCAGAGACAGTCTGGGAAAGATCTAGAATGAATTGGGAGGAAGTTGACTGTATCTTTAGCTGCTTTATCTGATCCTTTATTTTCTAAAGAGTTCTCAGTCTTTTTGGACTTCCCTGCTGGTCCACAGGTTAAGAATCTTCCTGGCAATGTAGGGGACATAGGTTTGATTCTTGGTCCAGGAAAATTCCATGCGCCACAGGGCAGCTGGGCCCACATGCCACAGCTACTGAAACCCACATGCCTAGAGAAGCCACCACAAAAAAAAAAGAATTCTCTAACTTTCTGACCTGTAGATCACTTCAATTCTATAGGAAAAGTGCCCCACAGTCCATCTACTTCTTGTATATTACTTAAAATTGTATATGAATTGATTATCACTTTCAACATACAAAAAAAAACTTCCTAAAAACAAACAAAAACTTCCTTCTGTAAAGTCAGCCTATGTGAATTATGTAATTTGTTCATTTAAACAATCCATTTATTGGTGATTGCAAATGGCTATTATTATGCATACATACAAAATAATGCTGTATAAAAAACAATTTTAATAAAAAGTCTATTGAATATCAAGCTATTATAGCACCTCAAAATTTCTTATCATTGTTACGACACATTTCTACATGTTAACATGTAGATAATCTGTGCCCTATTTTTGGTACTCTTATTTCTAAATCCACTTTTATTCTTTGAAACATATTAAACTCAAACCCAAACCTAGATGGTAGAAACTATCTATCCCATGTATTTTCGCGGGATTTGCACTTTAAACCAGTCTATGGAGATGATCTGAAGGGTCCAGGGAGATCTACCTGACCAGTCTTTAATAAATATAGTTACCTAGGGTGCACGCAAGGGCGGAGTAAAAGATGAGGTCCACGTTTCTCAAGATGCATGTTTGAGCAGGCCACTCAGGATGGCTGTTCTCTTGCTCTCTGTACATCCTCTGCTCAACCAGTCCCTGCTTCATTCACAGGACTATCTAACTCTCTTAATTACAGGGTTCAATCTGTAACTACCTGTGTGGCCCTAGCTGCTCGTTGCCCTGGTAACCTGACATCAATTCCCCCTGTAAATGGTAGCCTCCTTCTCCCTGGGGCAGTGAAGGTTGCTGCCAGGTCCTGCCTGCAGGTCTGCTGTCAACAGTGATGTGTCACCCCGAGACCCTTTGGCTTCTTGACATTTAAGCTCCCCCACATACTTAGGAAGACGGTGTTCCAAAAGGTTAATATTGGTCACCTCTAGAGGCTAGTATGGGCAAGACTTTCATTTTTAAAATATATTTCAGTGTGTTTTTAACTTTCTGAAAATCACATACTACTTTTATAAAACTTTTAAGCCAAAAATAACTACAGACATAATGTAGTTGTGGCACATCTATATTATACAACTTCCCACTTTATTGCCTCTGTTCCACATAAGAACAGAGGTCTGGGAATTTGGAGACCAGGCTTCTAGTCCACACTGCTTCATAACCTTGAGTAAGTTGGCTTGCCTCTGTGGGCCTCAGTTTCTACCTCCTAAGAGGGATACTTGAACTGACAGTAGCTACTATTTCAGTAGTTCCCATAGACCCAAGTGCTGGGCTAAGCAGTTTCCTCACAGCGGCTCCATGACTTGAATATGATCCCTCTTTTCCAGATAAGAAAACAGAAGGCCAAGTAAGTGCTGGAATCAGAATTCAAATTCACATTTAGTCCACTTGCCAAAGCCAGGTTCTTTTCTACACACTCTCATCACCTCTTGCCTCTTGTCTCACAGTTTTCTGACCCTAGAATGTACTTAAACCTAGGACTTGACTCAAAATCCTCTGCCTGGACAACAATATCTTTCTAAATTAACCTTTGGTCACTTTTATTATTGCAACATCTATTTTTTATGTTGCATCAACTCTTACGACAGGACGTCTCAACCTCAGCACTACTGACATTTTGGACTGAAAATTTCTTGGTTTTTGGGAGGTGTCCTGCTCACTGTGGAATGTTTGGTAGCATCCCTGGCTTCTACCTGCTAGAAGTCAGGAGCACCCACCCTACAAATTGTGATCCCAAAAATGCCTCTCTACATAGCCCCAGCATCATCTCTAGGGTTCAGAACCTCAGCTCTAGAAGAAGGAAAAGGGCAAGTCCCTGCATTAACTTGAAAGAAAAACTGCATCGGAAGGAATTCTAAAATCTTGTATTTTTATTGCATTTTTTTTTTACTCTCCCTGTTCAGGCTAGAGTCAGTTTCAGCATCTCACATTATTTGCTCTCTGCACAACACTGTACCAATTACCACACACTCTATATCAAAGATTCAGGGAAATGGGGAAGGAGAATAATCCTTGACCTCTCAAAAATGACTCTCCCTTAGTGAAATTCACCTCCGTTTGAGAGCAAAAGGGCCCTGTGAGGCTGAGTGAGAATGGATATTCAACAGGGAACAGTGGTAACTGAACACAATGCTGATTTTATTCCAACTAAATAAAGCAACATATAAGTAATCTGGGCGATAAGCTTAACTTAAGGGGCAAATGCCAAGAAACAAGGACTTTTTTTGTTTGCTTTAATTATCAATCACTGTCCATGGCTCTCTTCCACATCTCATCTCAGGAAATGTGGGTTAACAAATCTCACACAAAGAAACACAGGAAAAGAGAAATGGGGAAAAATAAAATTCATCTAGTATGCGGGGGTGTTTCTCCAATTTCTCTTCTGTGAACTGCTCCATCAGCAGGGTCCACTTCGGATTATTTTAATATCACGACCTTCTTCCCTGAAAATTGACCAATCATAAAAACACATTTATTGAAACTGTCCCACAAGTTGTATTAAAAAGACCCATGTCATTATACATTATAGTCTTTCCCAGTTGACAATCATTTTTAAAGCTAAATCTAGGGCCTTCCCTGGTGGCTTGAGTGGTAAAGAATCTGCCTGCCAATGTAGGAGATGTGGGTTCTATCACTGATCCAGAAAGATCCCACGTGCTGTGGAGCAACTGATTCTGAGCTCTAAGCCCAGGAACCACAACTAATGAAGCCCTTGCACCCTGGAGCCCAGGCTCTACAACAAGAGAAGCCTCTACAATGAGAAGCCTGCACGCTGCAATCAGGTAAAGCCCGAGCAGCAGCACAGCCTAAAATTATTAAATGATTTTTTTTTAAAAGCTAAATCTAGGAAACAATGAAGGTGAAAACCCAACTCTGCCATTTTTTTCCCCAAACCTTAGGGCACATGGAACTATTCCCCACGAATCACTCTGAGGAAGACCTGGTAATTTACTGAAGACTAAGTTCAGAGACTGAACCCCTGAAATACAAAGCAGTGTATCTGGAGGTGGAGTCACGGTCACCTAAGCTGGCCGGGTGTGTTACACAGAGGGTGTCAGTATAATACGCTTATTAGTGAGCATTCTAACAGGAGAGTTACTAAGACCAGTTTTCTGACCAGTCGTGCAGGGTGTGTAGGTCACCTGTACGTGGCTCCTGAATCCAACAGAACATTTACTATTGCACAGAGTTTAACTACTAAATATATTCTTGTCTAATTTTTTTTTTTTTTTGGCTGCTCTGGGCCTTTGCTGCACACAGGCTCTCCCTAGTTGCAGAGAGCAGGGACTGCTCCATAGTTGGGTGCTTGGGCTTCTCACTGGGGTGACTTCTCCTATTGTGGGGCTCAGGTCTAAGCACCCAAGCTTCAGCAGTTGCAGCACAAGGCTCAGTGGTTGTGACTCGGGCTCCAGAGCGTGGGCTGAGTGGCGGTGGTGCATGGGCTTAGCTGCTCCTCAGCATGTGGGATCTTCTGGGACCAGGGATGGAACTCTTATCCCCTGCACTGGCAGGTGGATTTTTAACCACTGGTCCACCGGGGAAGTCATAAATATATTTTTCATTTTGGGAAACTACCCATCCCTGGAGAGTAACATCACTTAATTATCTAGTCTATAACTGATTAACCACACACCTCTTTTTCTAACCTTGACCTAGAAAATTCACTGATCCTGTGTCTTTTTAAATATGTCTTAAAACAGAGCTACTTATTTCACATTTGATTCTTATGTCCAAGAAAAGAGCCACAACTTCCTAAGTCATCAAAATGCAAGAGAAGAACTAAAGAATATGTGCCTAGTTTACATTGAAAAATTGCTACCTGATTTTCATGCACAGAGTACACTCATTGGGATAAGTGGACAAATCACTTCCACACACGGGGTTGAAGTCCCGGGGACATCCTGGTAATGCGTACTGATGGCAGTTTGGCTGGAAAAGAGAAAGGAAGACAGAAATTGGTGAATAACTTGAGACGTTTTTATCATAAGAGGAGGGCAAAGTTCCACCATTAGTCACTCAGTCATGTCCGACTCTTTGGGAACCCATGGACTGTAGCCCACCAGGCTCCTCTGTTCATGGGATTCTCCAGGCAAGAATAATGGAGTGGGTAGCTATTCCCTTCTCCAGCGGATCTTCCAGACCCAAGGATTGAACCCAGGTCTCCTGCACTGTAGGTAGATTCTTCACCATCTGAGCCGCCAGAGAAGAATTCGGGCAAAGTCCCAAGTTTCCCTGTATTTTCTAGAAATATCCTACAGAAGATTTTCTATTTTACACACACACACACACACACACACACACAGATTTTTCTAAGTATCAGATGTAGTGTTGAAGCAATGGGTCAATACCTGCTATGTAAGATAAGGACCTCAGCAGAAGGTTGACGCTGGCTGATTTTTAAATAAAAGTCCAAGATATGCCACCAACGTACTTTACTATCCTCCAGCTTCATAATCTGTTCTTCACCAGCAACTCCATGAGAACGTCCTGTTACATTCCACCTAATTCTGTGGCATAATGCCCAGACACACTTGGAAATGTAATCTTTTGTCTGGACTTGTAAGATACTGGCATTTAAGCAACAGCATTAAGGAAAGCAGTAGGTTCAGAATTAGACCTCAGGGCTTGTTATGGGTTTAACTGCATCCACCCAGAAAGATATGTTAAAGTCCTAACTCCTAGCACTTTAGAATACGACCTTGTATGGGATTAGTAGGGTCTTCATATGGGAAGTTATTTTAAAGTAAAAAGTTTAGGAGAACTGGCCCTAATCCAATATGACTGGTGAGGTTATAAAAAGGGAAAACTGGGGGACTACCCTGGTGGTAAAATTCCCATTCAGGAATTCTTCCCTGGTGGCTCAGATGGTAAAGAATCCACCTGCAATACAGGAGATCTGGGTTCGACCCCTGGTTTGGGAAGATCTCCTGGAGAAGGGAATGGCAACCCACTCCAGTATTCTTACCTGGAGAATCCCATGGACAGAGGAGCCTGGTGGGCTCCAGTCCATGGGATCACAAAGGGTCAGACACGACTGAGGAAGCTAACACTTTTCTTTTCACTCTGGTGGTGCAGCAGATTAGAATCCAGCTGCTAATGCAGGGGACACAAGTTTGATCCCTGGCCTGGGAGGATTCCACATGCTGCAGGACAACTAAGCCCATGAGCCACAACTACTGAGCCCCAGTACTGCAGCTCTGAAGCCCATGTGCCCAGAGCCTGCGCTCGGTAATGAGAAGCCCAAGCACCAAAAGGAAGAGCAGCCCCTGCTCGCTGCAGCTCGAGAAAGCCTGTGCAAAAAATAAATAAATATATATATTTTTTTAAACAAAAGGAAAGTTTGGACACAGAGTCACACACAGAGGCAAGATCATATGAAGACACCAAGGGAATGCCATTTACAAGCCAAGAAATGCCTGAGGCTACGAGATACTAGGAGAAAGGATTGGACCAGATTCTCCTTCACAGCCCTTAGAAGGAACAAACCCTGCTGACACCTTGAGTTTTGACATCCAGCCTTGAGAACTGTGAGACCACCCATCTCTGGTGTTCAAGTCACTCAGTTTGTGGCTTTATTACAGCAGCCCTAACAAACTGATGTTGGATCGTGGATCTCAAACCTCAGATTCAATGGAACTGAGGCCAGAGAGGTAATATGTCTTGCTCATAACCTCTAGTCTCCAGCAGAACCAGGACTAGACTCAGTCACAGTGGTCACACCATAGCGTGCAGAGGCTCACTCTAATAACAGGTTGAATATATGATCTAGTGTATTTGTTTTGTTTTAGTAATAGTGATCGTCTTTTCTCACTTCAGAATGTGTTTAGTACTCTGAATAAATGAAATATACCTTCTCCTTCATATTATGTGGATTCATAGAGACCTAAGTAGGACAGGGCATTGGCCAAACTCTGAACTAAAGAGAAACTTTTGATCCTTTCCACACTCTGTTCAGCCTTCTATCTCCTTCTAGGAGCCTGATGTGTTCTTCCTGTTCTAGGCTCACTAAGATGATGACTTCCAGGACAGCTTCCACAGGAGACTAGATAGTCTCTTTCCAATGAGATTGGGACAACTGGTAATTGGTCAATTAATTGAAAAAGTCGATTAAAGTAGGGAAACAGTAACAAAAACTATAACATACCCTAAACATTTTCTCTTAAAACATATAAATGAAAATAAAATTGCCAATCTTTTGATGGAAAGCCAATGAGGCACACGGCCAGCTATAATGCTACCTACACTAAGACAACCTCCTTGCAGCTAGGTATGACCGACCACACGATCAAGGCCAGGCCGATGGGATGCAAGTGGAATTACCGCGCGCAGTTGCTTCTGTGTTTGTGTTAGTCATTCAGTTGTTCCGACTCTTTTCAACCCCATGGGCTATAGCTTGCCAGGCTCCTCTGTCCATGGAACTCTCCAGGCAAGAATACTGGAGTGGGTTGCCATTCTCCAGATTCTCCAGACCCAGGAGTCTCCCTTCAATCCCCAACCCAGAGATTGAACCTGGGTCTCCCGCATTGTAGACCGATTCTTTACCACCTGCTAGGAACCTCCTTTAAAAGAAAGCTGGGGCCTGTCCTCTGCCTTCCCCAATTTTCATTCTTTGTCTATTCCTCCATCCTGCTCCTGGGTGCATGGAACTCTATGCTTTACAGACCAGGATGACAAAGTCCACATCCTAAGACAGCAGTTCTGTGAGCTGTTATTTTGAGTCCTTGTTATCTGCAGCTGAATCTAATCCTGACACAAGACATAAGACTTTTCCTACGAAATGTTTCAACTAATTAGAGTTCTGTGTGCTGTCACTGAAAAAATCATACCCATAATAAATCATCCATGATTTCTTCTTTTGTTTTAAATGGGATTTCTCAACTGCATTCGTATTTTGGACCAGCTAATTATTTGTTGTGTGAGGCTGCCTCATCCATGGTAGGGTATTTAGTAACATCACTGCTCTCTATCCACTAGAGGCTAGTTACAACTTCCGAGTCATGACAATCAAAATGACAATCTGTGTCCTGAGGGATAAACCTGCCCCCTTTTTAAAATATGGTGAGAATTTAAAGACACTGGCACAGCAAGGTAATATACAGTTAAAAAATAATTCCCCAATTATTTACTGTTTTACTACCCCTACTTCAGTTTTTTAGAATTTGTCTTTTAGCAAGTTTTTCAAAAGCATCTGACACAGTTTCCATATAAACATTTTCATCTGTTTACCCTCTTGTTCATGCTGTCTCTACATCTTTTATAAATTAAGACTGTGGCTGGCGTAATAGGCTTGTGAACACAGATACTTGAGTCTTGGTAAGAATACAGCTCCACTCATGGGAAACAAACTCTATGATTTACAGGAGAGGAGTTAAACAAGAGGATGGTCTGTCTCTAACCAGTGAGTAATTGACCTGCTGTGGGAATGGTTAGACAGAAAGCAGAGAGTCATATGTGAGTTGCTTAAATACAGAATGGCTGATCCAAATGTGCCCTCCTAACCATTCACATAGGATGCCTACCTTTAGTTTCCCACCTCCAGCCTCCCCATGCCAACAGCCTCAATAAGGGCACATCTGATGCCTTCCCTTTTCCCCATTACAAAGCTTTCCCACCCCTGTGCCTTTGAGTCTCAGCTAAAACACAAGTGACATGGCTGACTCACTTGCTCCATTAAGCTCTGAATAACTAGTTTTTGCTTGCTCTCATCTGGTTGGCCTTTGTTTGCCTCCACAGAACTTAATTTGAGAATATACATAAAATATCTAGTACAACATGTGACTACTGGGCATAGGACCTTCTAAATCATCAAAGGAGATAGTAAAAGGAAACAAAGCCCTGAGGCCTGCAAGGCCTGAGCAATTTTTAACCAAAATTTACACTGTGATCTGTATCAAAAAGCCTGCCTGAGAATCTGGTTTCTAAAGAAGCAGTCAACTGTCTCGAAAGCGGCAGACCTGACAACCAGCCCCCACCCAAACCACTGCGGGCTTCACTGTATTAGGAGAAACAATCCAAGCAGTTTCCTACTTACTGAGCTGTATTCTGAAGGCTGACCAAACTGAGCATTGGAAGAGGCTGCAAAAAGGAGACAGACATTTTAAAGGACGTGATTAAGGTTAGTGCTCATTCGTAAGGGTTTTTTTAATTCAGCTTGTGATTTAGACAGGCTACATGTCTCCCTCTCCCTCACATGTCTAGCTTCTTTGACCCCTTCCTAAAAAAGTCGATTCAGTTGTGTTCTGGCACCTCTCCTAGCAGGCACACGGAAAACACTCGGTACCCGTTCTGTATCTGACCACCCTAATAGGATTGCTTGGGAAACTCTGGAGCTACCGAATAAAGGGTAGAGAAGCAACTCAATCGTTCACGAGGTTGTTTTCCCCTGTGGTGGAGATAATAAGTGCAAATTTTGACATCGGGTGTTATCACTTTAGCTCCACTTTAAATAGACATCAAGTCTGGCTGGACTGAAGCCGCTTTCTCACGAGCCCCACGGTGCTTGGCGCACTTGGCATTCACAATTCCTGATTCCTGGTACATCTGCTGCTGAGGTTCTGCAAGGAAGGCCCCGGGTCCATAAAAACCTGACTCCTAACCTTGGGTTTCAGAAAATCCACTTTAAGGGAGAAAGAGCAGCCTGGGAAGAAGCCCAAGCAGGAACTAAAGAAGGTTGGGGCTCCACAATGCCACCCCCCAACCCCGGACATGCCCAAGTTCGTGTCCCTAGGCAACTGCGGGGCGGGCCGGAACCGCCAGTAACGGGTGCGCGGAGGGGTACAAAGGCCCCCCAGGCCTCGGGGAGGGACAGTAGCGGGCAAGGGCCCCCTCTCAGTAACTCCTGGGCTGGTCCTCCGGGGACCAGAGAGACTGGTGAGCGTTACCGGCCGAGTCCCACCAGACCAGGAACAAAACCAAACGCAGCGCCTTGAGCGCCATCGTGCCTCCGCAGCCGGCCGTCAGGTCCCTGCGCTCCAGCGTCTGCGCGACCAGGGCGGCTCCCGTGCGACAGGGCGGGATGCAGGAGGGGCAGGGCACGTGGCGGAGAGGAAGGAGGGGGCCGGACGGGGCGCGGGAGGGGCGAGAAGGGGCGCGTGGAAGAAGGAAGACAGAAGAAGGGAGGTTGCTAGTCCCCGACTCCTCGCGCTGCCTAGAATGAGAGCAAGCGATTGAAGAGGCCACCCCTCCCTGCAGCAGACGAGAACCTCGTAGGAGCCCTCGATGATCTAGCGAGCTGTCAGTCAACCTCAGTTTTTTCAGCGTCTGCTCTCTACCAGGCGGTGTTTGGAGCTGAAAACAAAGGAGGTACCCGCTCTCTAGACGCTTTCTGGTGTAGGTGTTGGGGATGGGGTTACCCAGGGAACTCCACAACAGGTGAATACAGTAATTTCTGAAAGTGCTAGAGAGTGGTGGGGGCAGGGGAAGACTTTGGGAGATCAGAAAAGGCCTTACCGAAGTGGCATTTAAGCTGAAAGCTGAAGGATGAGAAAGAAGCTTGGTGAAGACCGTGAGAACGCTCAAGGAAAAGCAAGTGCAGAATCCTGGAGACTGGAGCCAACTCACTGTGCTCAGCTGGACCCTAGGTGAGGGAGGGGGCGGGAGAGGGAGTTGGAACCACAAGGCCTTGACCACACGTGGTGTTGTAGGCTCCTGATAAGGGATTTGGATTTGTTCTGATTGCAGTGGAGGATTTTAGACAAGGTCGTGGCCCTGGCATGACTTATCTTTTAAGATAATGTATGAAGAATGAAGGGGATAGGTAAGAGTGGAGGCAGGGAGAGAAATCAGGCAGCTTGTGCAGTAATCTGGAGAAGGAAATGGCAACCCACTCCAGGATTCTTGCCTGGAAAATCCCATGGGCAGAGGAGCCTGGTGGGCTACAAGTCCAAGGGGTCACAAAGAGTCGGACACGACTGAGCAACTTCACTTGTGCAGTGATCTGGGCAAGGGATGATGGCAACTGGAGTTAGTGGGTAACAGGGGCCTGCTGAGAAGTGGTCAGATTCAGGGTTTTCTTTTGGAGGCAGAACAAACTGGAATGAAGATAAGAACCAAGGATGCTTCCTGGGATTTTGTCCTGAACAGGTAGCTGTGTGGTGATGGCATTTCTGTGAGGAAGAACACGTGGAGAAGATTTCTATTAGAACTCCAAGTGGACATGTGGACAAGGCATTTGGAATTACAAATTTGGAGCTGGAGATATAAACTCAGAAGTCATCAGCATATCGACAGTATTGAAAACCATGGACCCAAAGCCCAGGGGAAGAGTACAGCAGAGGTCAGAGGTCAGAGTCCTGGGCACTACTGTATGCAGAACTTTGACAGATACGGAGAAGAAGCCTGTGAAGGAGGAAGACAACCAGGCTAGAGTCAGGGGTTGCTGAATCATGGAGCAGTGCTGCAACCATGTCAGTTGCTGCTGTGAGGTTGGGAAGTAGGAGGACTGAGCATTGTCACAAACTTTGGTGAGATATAGTCCCGGATGACCTTGATGAGAACTTTTGCAGAGAAGTGATGGCATCCAGAGCCCAAATGGTCTGGGTTGAAGGAATGAGGTGAGAAAGTGGTGACAAGGATGTTGACAGAGCTCATGAGTTTGGCTGAGAGTGAAGCCAGACATGGGCAATAAATGGCCCATGAAACCTCCATGTCTTCTGGGGATCATGTCAAAAACCCTCCAATATCTTTCCATCTCCAGTGTCTTAGGAAGGGAAACCGAACTTCTTGCTGTGGCCTCCAAGGTCTCTGCTGGTCTCTTACTGCTCTCCCCTGACTCCCTCTTTCCGACCCCACTGGCCTTCCTGCTCCCCCAAGCACTTTGAACTTGCCTTTCCCTTTGCCTTGTTCTTGTTCAGTCGCTCAGTCATGTCCAACTCTTTGCCACTCCATGGACTGCAGCACTCAGGTTTCCCTGTCCTTCACCATCTCCTGGAGCTTGCTCAAACTCATGTTCATTGAGTCGGTGATACCATCCAGCCATCTTCTGCCATCCCCTTCTCCTCCTGCTTTCAATCTTTCCCAGCATCAGGGTCTTTTCCAATGAGTTGGCCCTTCACATCAGGTGGCCAAAGTATTAGAGCTTCAGCTTCAGCAACAGTCCTTCCAATGAATATTCAGGACTGATTTCCTTTACAACTGACTGGTTTGATCTTCTTGCAGTCCAAGGGACTCTCAAGCATATTCTCCAACACCACAGTTCAAAAGCATCAATTCTTCAGTGCTCAACCTTCTTTATGGTCCATCTCTCACATCCATACGTGACTACTGGAAAAACCATGGCTTTGGCTATACAGACCTTTGTCAGCAAAGTAATGTCTCTGCTTTTTAGTAAACTGTCTAGGTTTGTCATAGCTTTTCTTCCAAGGAGCAAATGTCATTTAGTTTCATGGCTGCAGTCACCATCTGTGCTGATTTTGGAGCCCAAGAAAATAAAGTTTGTCACTGTTTCCATTGTTTTCCCATCTATTTGCCATGAAGTGATGAGCCCAGATGCCAACAGTTTTTTGACTGTTGAGTTTAAGCCAGCTTTTTCACTCTCCTCTTTCACCTTCTTCAAGAGGCTCTTTAGTTACTCTTTGCTTTCTGCCATAAATGTGGTATCATTGCATATCTGAGGTTATTGATATTTCTCCCAGCAATCCTGATTCCAGCTTGTGATTCATCCAGTCCAGCATTTCGCATGATGTACTCTGCACATAAGTTAAATAAGCAGGGTGACAATACACAACTTTGCTGTACTCCTTCCCAATTTTGAACTAGTACATTGTTCCATATCCAGGTCTAACTGTTGCTTCTTGACCTGCATACAGGTTTCGCAGGAGACAGGAAAGGTGGTCTGATAGTCCCATCTCTTTAAGAATTTTCCACAGTTGGTTGTGATCCACACAGTCAGAGCCTTGTGAAGTCAATAAGCAGAAGTAGATATTTTTCTGGAATTCTCATGCTTTTTCTATGATCCAGTGAATATTGGCAATTTGATCTCTGGTTCCTCTGCTGCTGGGAGCCGTTATGGGAGGTCCCGCCCGTGACGAGGTCATGAAGAAAATACCGGACAGGCAAGGCCATCCGGGACCCCATCCATGACGAGGTCACGAGGAAGAAACCTGACAGGCAGGGCCGTCTAGGATAAGGGAGCCTCCAGGTTGGCCTCGGCCTCTACCCCACCCTGTATCCTCCCCCCTTTTCTGCTGTTGTTCTTGTTTGCCCTGCTGCGGATTCTTGTGTTGCCTGCTGAGAGCTCTCCTGCTCCTCTTTCACTGAATGAGGACCAACTTAAAACCCTACTTAATAAATCTCCTGGACGCTGGTACCCTATGAAGGGGCCAGGGATGAAGGAAATGCTTCAATTCAAACCCTTTTGCTGGCATTCTTGCTTGTTTGATAAATATGTGCTCTCATTGCACAAAATGCTCATGATTGTTCTAAACATCCTAAACACAGTACACTAACAAAAGAAACTATTAAGCATAGGTCCCTCCGAGGGGTGAGAAAAGCCCCACAAATATTATAGCCACATATACGCCTAATAGAAAATAGTTTAGATAGAGATTAGCTGGTGACTTCTTGCAGGTAATTAACTTTTGGACAAAGAGCCTGTTTTGTGCCATATCTGCTGTTTTTGCAATCCTTTGCATTTCTGTTCTGTGAAAATGTAATCCTATCTAGTTCCCTTGGAGATGACACCTAATAGAAAGAAAATAGATTAACCACAAAAAAGACAGGGTCGGCTACTCAAGTTGCTCAAAGTTGCACCAGGTGCAAGCCATAAATTATCAACAGGCCTGAAAGCCAAAAGATATTATACATAGAGATTAACCATAAGAAAGGCCCTTATAGACACAGAGCCCTTTGGGGGGGTGAGGAAGCCCTATTAGAGAATACAAAAAATATTATTTTTTTTTCCATTTATTTTTATTAGTTGGAGGCTAATTACTTTACAATATTGTAGTGGTTTTTGTCATACATTGACATGAATTAGCCATGGATTTACATGTATTCCCCATCCCGATCCCCCTTCCCACCTCCCTCTCTACCCGATCCCTCTGGGTCTTCCTAGTGCACCAGGCCCGAGCACTTGTCTCATGCATCCAACCTGGGCTGGTGATCTGTTTCACCCTAGATTATATATACATGTTTCGATGCTGCTCTCTTGAAACATCCCACCCTCGCCTTCTCCCACAGAGTCCAAAAGTCTGTTCTATACATCTGTGTCTCTTTTTCTGTTTTGCATATAGGGGTATTGTTACCATCTTTTTAAATTCCATATATATGTGTTAGTATACTGTATTGGTCTTCATCTTTCTGGCTTACTTCACTCTGTATAATGGGCTCCAGTTTCATCCATCTCATTAGAACTGATTCAAATGTATTCTTTTTAATGGCTGAGTAATATTCCATGGTGTATATGTACCACAGCTTCCTTATCCATTCGTCTGCTGATGGGCATCTAGGTTGCTTCCATGTCCTGGCTATTATAAACAGTGCTGCGATGAACATTGGGGTGCACGTGTCTCTTTCAGATCTGGTTTCCTCAGCTTGTATGCCCAGAAGTGGGATTGCTGGGTCATATGGCACTTCTATTTCCAGTTTTTTAAGGAATCTCCACACTGTTCTCCATAGCAGCTGTACTAGTTTGCATTCCCACCAACAGTGTAAGAGGGTTCCCTTTTCTCCACACCCTCTCCAGCATTTATTGCTTGTAGACTTTTGGATAGCAGCCATCCTGACTGGCGTGTAATGGTACCTCATTGTGGTTTTGATTTGCATTTCTCTGATAATGAGTGATGTTGAGCATCTTTTCATGTGTTTTTTAGCCATCTGTATGTCTTCCTTGGAGAAATGTCTGTTTAGTTCTTTGGCCCATTTTTTGATTGGGTCATTTATTTTTCTGGAGTTGAGCTGGAGGAGTTGCTTGTATATTTTTGAGATTAATCCTTTGC